CCCCTACCCCACTGTCATGAGACCCAATCTGGAGTATTGTGTTCAGCTCTGAGGCTCCCAACATTAGAGAGACATGGACCTGTTGGAGCAAGTCCAGAGGAAGGTCACAAAGGTGATAAGAGGGCTGAAGAACCTCTCCTACGAAGAAAGGCTGAGAGAGCGGGAGTTGTTCAACCTGGTGTTGTTCAACCTGGAGAAGGCTCCAGGGAGACCTTAGACCAGCTTCCAGTATCTAAAGAAAGCCTGTAAGAAATCCAGAGAAGGATATTTTACAAGGGCCTGTAGAGATAAGACAGGGGGTAATGGCTTTAAACTGGAAGATAATAGATTTAGATTAGATATTAGGAGGAATTTCTTCACTGGTGGTGAGATGCTGGAGCAGGTTGCCCTGAGAAGCTGTGGCTGCCCCATCCCTGGAAGTGTTCAAGGCCAGGTTGGATGGGGCTTTGAGCAACCTGCTCTAGTGGGTAGAACTAGATGATCTTTAAGGTCCCTTCTGACCCAAACCATTCTGTGATGATTCTATGAATACAAGCTTTGCTAATGACTAGAAAGTAATGGTGTGGAAGAAGGCTGGAAGGCTCCCATATGCTTATCCTAGGGTACAGTCAGTAAGGGAGAAATAGTGATTGAAGGTGGCAATTCCTCCTGGATCCCTGCCCTTCCGTGCATCAAAGGGAGATGCTTTCTTCATTATTGAAAGTTTTTATTGGACAAGGGGGATATTCTATAAACTGGCTTCTGCCGTGGTACTGCTGTGGATTGAAGCATGATTACAGAATCCTGAGATCCTTGTAATTGTTACTTGTGTAATAGTTGTAATAAATATTTATTTTCTAATGGAACATGCTAAAATTTTTGCACTGAAATTCAAATATTCTTTTTGTTTGAATACATATTGCATGTCCATGCTGTACTTTGAAGTAATGACATGGAGAGTAAAGGAGCTGAATTTTCTCAGCTTGAGTTTGTGTATTTTAGCAGGATAGTGGCTTTCCATTTGTCTGAATCCCAAGTTTGTGAAACGTAGCTAAAAATGCAAATCTTAGCTTAAATCCATTCTGAGATCTGATAGCATTTTAAGGGTCTACCAATTGAAAGTATAGAGACCACTGCAATCTCTGCAATCTTAACTCTAGTTGGAACTGAGATCAAAAATCTTCCCCAGTGCTAGGCTTACCTTCTAGTGAACTAATCCCATTACAGTATATGCAAGACAGCTATTGTAATGTACCACCAAGTTTTAAAAGCTGGTTGTCTTTTGACAAAACCCACAGCTCTTACCTTCTTGAACAAAGTTGACAAGGTGGCCAGTGTCCATGACCCTTTGATATGCTTCATTCTTTCCAGTACAGGTAAAATGGAATTTCCTCTGTTATGATTATTTCCAGTAGTGGGAAGTTGGGAAGGGACATTTGGAGAGCAAGTATTCCAGCATCCTGCTCAAAGAGAGATCAGGTTGCTCAGGGCCTTTTTCAATCCAGTGGGGTTTTCTTACTGTCTCTAAAGATGGAGATTTCACAGCCTTTTCTGGGCATCCTGTTCCTGTACTTAACTTCCACTGTCGAGAATTTTTTCATATATCCACTGGAATGTCCCTTGTGCTGACTTGTGACTGTAACCTCTTGTCCTGGCTTGTGCACTTTTTCTGAAAAGTCTGGCTTTGTTGTCTTTCTAACTCTGCTTGCACTTAGAGCCCCCTTGTATTCCTCTGGTGGTACAAACCAAGTTCCCTTGGTGCCTCTGTGTATGTCATGTATTGAGCCCTGATACATATTTATAAATGTTTAAAATAACCTAGAAGTTGCCAGTGTCCTCAGTAGGACTAAGACAGGCCAATGAGATGCTTATTTTGCTTAATTGTTTCAAAGTGTTCTTGCCTGTGTGCTTTTAATCTGCAGTATTTTCATAGAATCATAGAATGGCTTGGAAGGAACCTTGAAAATCATCCGGTTCCAACCCCCCTGCCACGGACAGGGACACCTTCCAGTAAAGCAGGTTTCCTTAAGGCACATCCAACCTGGCCTTGAATGCTTCCAGGGATGGGGAATGCGTAGCTTCTGTGGTCAACCTGTTCCAGTGTCTTGCCACCCCTGCAGTGAAGAATTTCTTCCTAATATCTAATCTAAATCTATCTTTTACCAGTTTAAAGCCATTCCGCCTTGTCCCATTGCTACTTGCTCTTGAAAAAAGCCCCTCTCTGGATTTCTTGTAGGCCACTTTAGGTACTGGAAAGTGGCTCCAAGGTCTCCCCAAAACCTTCTCCTGATGCATTTTCCTGAGAAGAGGTCTTTTTGCCTTTGACCATTGAGAGCAGGCTATTCATTTTGTTGGCATGAGTACAATATCTGAGGTCTGGACAGATAGCTTTGTTTTCATTTTGCTTCCTTATCTGTCCCCTATTTGTTGCATCTAGTCCTTCTCAGGTAATAATAAACTTGTTTACTTATATGCCTTCTGTTGGCAGTATGTGGCACTGCTGTGTTTAATGAGTAATAAGTTTTTCACAAAACTTGAAGCACATGTGCCATGTTATGCATCAGGAATGACTTTCCTTTAATGATCAAATGAGAAAATGATTCAGTTCATTGTTGCAAAGAGTTGTGTAAAATGTAACTTAGCAGAATATTAATAGAATGCTTTACAAGATGACTGACGGGCCTAGGCTATGGGGCAGTAGAGTGCATATTAAAATGAAAGGAAGAACGATTGCACTTTAATCTAAGCCTAACAGAGGAATAGGTCATCTTAATTCTCTATTGGAAAAAAGTCTACTCAAATACATGACTTGCCTAGAAAATTCTAAGCATGTTGTAGTGTATTTTGATGGAAGGGTGCTGAGCACATCCGTCATTCTCTTTCTTTTTTCAGTGTTGCATTTCTCTAGGAAAAGTTATTGTATTTGTACATTTGCAAGTAGGCTCTAAAACATGGCAGCCTGCCCTCTCTACCTATTTTTTCCCCTTTCCAAAATTAAAAAACTTAAATTGATAATTTCATTCAAGGCTTTTAAAAAGATACTTGGTGTAGGTAATGTGCAATAACTAGCTTTTGAGTTTGTTCAAATAGGTCAGATGGCTTAATTATTTACCCATGTGTCTGTTTGACTATGACATCTAAACCAGCTCTTGTGTCTGATCTGGTGTGTCTTGTATGGTGACTCTCAAGATGCATTGAGTTCAGTATGCAGACCTAAAGACAAAGTTTTTTTGTTTTGTTTTGTTTTGTGTTGTGGAGAGCACTGATAACATCACTTTTCTTTTTCTTGCATCCTTACGGATAGTGGTATCAGCCTCTGGGTACTAGAGCCAATGGAACTGTTTTTTCCTATGCCAGATGTGAACCCTGCCCATGGTGTCTTAGATTTGTGAATGGTAAGTGTTACTCAAGGAACTGGACAGAATGGCTATTTACTTAATAATGGCATTTTGGTTGTTGAGTGTCCCGCTAAGCCAAGCTGACTTAATTGGATTGAAACATTTGCAGACTCCCAGAAGACTGTAGCATAAAGATAACAGGTACCTGTTCTGTTTCTATGTCTGTTACAGATCTAGTGCAGTGCTGATAGAGTAGATCTAAATAGTTTTATCTTTACAGTTGAATCTTGCTTTTAAAAAATCTTTCTTCAGAGAAAAAGAGGGTGTTGGGACAGGAGTTCACTTTGTGAAGAAGTTAATTTCTGTTTAATGAATGGTGCTTACAATATGAGGACGGTGTATCAGGATGGAACACATTTATTACCCTGTTGCACTACTTATTGTAATCCTTGGCTCAAATGTGGTTATGCTTTCTTCTGAGGTATTGGTGTTGGAGGAGCCTTAAATATTAAGATCCAGTTACCTCAATCTGCAGTCCTTCTTTAAGGCATAGAACTTCACAGTCCATCAGTCAATTTTTAGGACCTTCTGAGTAATACTGTATAAATTCAGCAGTCTCACTTTACTTGTGAGGCTCTGGGCTTCCCATGCTACGTTGTGTGGGTATGAGGAAATGAGAACAACTTGATCTCATGAAGATCCATGCTCTACTGGGGCTAAACTATTTCTTCTACCCAAGTTAATTATCTTAAGATAATGCTGTTATTTTTTTCACTATATTGCAGTCTGCTGAAGACCATAAGTACAGTTTTCTTTAACCTCCTGGAACCCACGGTCCCTTCTCTTGTAAATAACTCATGCATGAGCAGCCTGTTTTTGAGGAAGGCTGTACTGACTTCATGCTCACCTCGACTCCTCCCTCTAATACAAACTCTACTCTTGCTTCTCGTAACTTCTGTGTATGTTTCTAAATCCTTTATGTAGCGCTTTGGAGACAGTATGTCCTGCTAAACACACAGTTATCCTGCATACCACACTAGTGCATTACCTCTATGGAAAAATATGACCTAAATCCCTGCTGATTTCAGTTTATAAGATTGTGCAGTACCAGCTCTGTGTTCTCTCTGCTTCTACACCTTACATGCATACAATTTCCAAATGTCTGAGGGAAAATATGCAACCAGTAGCCTGCCACAAGAACTGTTGTAGTATCACAGGAATGTCTCTAGCTGACTAGAACAGAGATGTCCTGTTCTAGTCCTTCCCTCCAAAGGGCTTGGGGTTACCCTGCACTGTGTGCTCTTCCAAGGGGGGCCGAGGGATGCAGTTGGCACAGTCAGCTCTTGCTGGACACTCCAGATGCTCCTGCAGAGTGTCCACATGCACTTCAATACACACAACCTCTAAGACTGCAAATGGTATACAGCTTTACCCATGCAGAACCTTTAAATGTATTTTGAATTCAGTGTGCTCTGCTCGCTGGGCCCATTCATAGTAACCACTGAAAATAGTTTTAGGATCATTTCTTAGTTCCATTGTTTGCTGCTTAAAAATTATTTGGGCTACCCCACCATTATGGTGGAGTGAAAGCACCTTTGAGATTTTCAGTGCTTTTTGCAGTGAAAATTGAAAGATGCTTGGTTTCTTTTAGTGAAGCATCTGGCTGGAGCAAATGAAGCATGCAGATTGTGTGAGGAGTGAGGTCAAATTCTCCTCCTTTGCATTGGAGTTCCAGTCCAACAACTGCTGGACATAAACAGCTGCTGAGATATCTCGTTTTCCTGTTTCCCACAAAGGAAAAAACAGCAGCTGGGTCTGAAGTGCCTCAACTGATTTAGGCGTGTTCCTGGTTATTTCTACAGATAGATACCTTCAGTTTCATCGACAGAATGCAAAGTAAGAAGGAAGGATGGACAGTAAACTATACACTTTATTCAAAAATACTATTTCTTACATGTTTTGTTAATGCTTCTACCCTCACTCCTGGCCTTAGAGAAGAAAAATGTGTCAATGACCCAAGATGGCATACTAGGAATTGCATCTGGCTGAAAATTTTTTTGGGACAGGGAGATTTCTGGTACTTCAACAAACCTGTGGTTTAATCTTCCTCATCTTGCTTTATGGTCATGGGAGGTGGAAAAAGGTAAGAATATTTAGCATCAATACACTGGCCACTTCTGGAATTAACTAAGCTGTGGGTGTCTTTTAAATTATCCTGTGATTTTTCTTGTTAAGATCTTACTACCATCTGTAAAAGTACACTACAATATCAGTTCTGGGGGCTGGAATTTTCTGTTTTGGAAAAAGAATTGTTTTGGATTGCAAGCTGTGGGAGGGCTGCATGTCTGTCTTCAAAGCTGAAATGAACTGCAGATGAAACCCTTACTGAAAAATAAATAAGAAATATTTTTAAATGCTACTGTAAAACTAACACTTCCGAGACAGGGGCTATGTATTAGGAGCATGCTTTTTGTCAGCTCTTCTTTTTATTTTTGTTTTTTTTCTCCCTTAAATAATTTGGATGTACATAAATCTGGCAAAGATTATTTGCTGTGAGCAGATTAAGGTGTCTGGTTTGATAGCTGATTCAGATGGGAGGAAGTATGGAGAGTAGTTGAGATGCAGATGGAGAGTGGCAGGAAATCATATAACTTCCAGACCTTGTGAAATCGCGCAAGTTCTGTGTTGTCAGCTTTGGAAATCAGCATTTTGCAGTTTCTGCATTTATAATGGCTCTGTTCAGAGGTGCCATATTCAGGGACCTCTCAGTGATGAAGTTGCATTGCTTACTGACATCCGTTACATGTCTTCCTCCTTTGTGATGAGGCATGTGCAGTGGAATTCTGGGTTTGTAAGGAGATGGGGGTGTGTTTGTGTGTTTGTGTGTTTTTAAAATATCTGCTGTTATATGTTCATGTTGATAAAGGGAAGGCTGAAGTAGTACACTTGTAGTGAGAGCAGGAGGTAATGAGTTCTTATAAAGAGAATTGATTTCTTAGGGCACTCACCCCATAGTTGTGGATCACAGGGTAATTTTGCCTCTGACATAGAGCAGTTTTATCCTGGTTGTAATGAGCTACTTGTGTTAAGATCCAAGTTGTCACCTGCATCTTTGTTTCACACTTCAAGTGATTCATTTTGTTTTGTTTTCATTTTATAAGGGAGTCTAAGCTTAACATGCTTCTTAGTCTTGATTTTTAAGGAAGTTCTAGAAAGCTTTCTTTTTCTTAAAGGTAGTAAATTTGTACACATTGACTGTTTTAGTGCATTTGGTATGTAATCTGTTTTAATAGGATCTTTTTATATTTTCTCATTTAATGATTCCTTTTTTTTTCTTTTATAGAAAAGACTTAATACAGTACTTTCTTACTTTTTAATTCAAATTTTTATACCTTCCCACCTTAGGATGAATATTTAAACAGCAGTCTTCAGTCTTGCTTCAAAATGTCCCTGTGTGCATCCTCTCACAAGGATTTTTCTCAGTTGCTGCCACTTCAGGATATTGGAGGCAGTAAGACAGAAATTAAAAACTCACCTGCTAGCATCGTCTCTCCAGCTCCCTACAGTTGTAATCAGCCCACACTGACAGCAGAACACAGTCCAGTCTATATTCCCTCATCTTACATGGAAAGCAGACATGACTATTCTGCAATGGCATTCTGCAGTCCTGCTATGATGAATTACAACATTTCCAGCAATTTTGGTGATTCGGAGACTGCATCCACAAGGCAAACGTCAAGCCCCAGTGTGTTATGGTCTGCTCCCAGCCATCGCTCCCCTCTGACACTACACTGTCAGTCATCGCTTCTGTATGCAGAGCAACCGAAGAGTCCATGGTGCGAAGCAAGACCAATGGAGCCTCTTCTACCTGTGACCAGGTCAGTGCTACTCACTTCCTTAAAACTTTGCTGAAAAGTATTTACTGTTTCTTTAGTTCTTTTAAGTCTTTTCTTTTTACATTTGACTTCTCTGTGCTGGTCTCTCTGAAAAACAATACAAAATAAACCCTCCACCAAATACCAAATCAGACCTGGGTTTTGTAGGCTTTTTTACATGTAACTGCTGAAATTGGATTATTTTTTTTTCAATAGCTCCTTAGACAACTGCACACCAAACAAAAGTTCAAGACAACTAGGTACTAATTTGTGTTATAAAAATGACTTTTGCTCTGGCAAATTAAGAAGTCCTTTGAGTGAAAGAAGTAAAGATTCATTCTTTTTTCCTTTCCATGCAGTGTTGTTTGTATTTCATTTTATCTGGATTTTTTTTTACTGCATCTAATAGTTCTGAAGGCTTTTCATGAACTTACAATTCAAGGGAAATGTTTTCTTGATTTATTTTGGTTTTAGTATTAACAGTCCCATAGTAGCATGCACCACATTCAAAGTGATACTGCTACTGAAAAATTCTGACACTTTCTTGTTGCTCTTCTCAACTGACTTTATAAAGGCATTGTGAACAGCAGATTCATAGCCTAATTTTTAAGCTGTAAAGAAAATGTATTTGCAAAAACATGTTCCCATTCTGCACATTTACTCATATTACGAACCATAAGCCATGTGTAGATCATCAGTAGATGAACTCTATTCATTGGCGCAACAGCTATTGGATGGATAAAATCTCAGGGTGTTGGGGGTGCTGTTTCTGTTTTAGCAGCTGTGTGTTTATTCAGAGGGCTCCTATTTAACTTCAGCAGTCATTGTGAGTATGAAAAATAGTGCGTTCTGGCAACAGTTTTAGTTCAATTTGTAATAAAAGATTGGTGCTATTTTTGTGACTACCCACTTTCCTTCTGCAACGGGTGGGCTTTATATTGTCTGCACAGGGCTCAGGCGTGAGATCTATTCTACTTCTGACTTGTAGGCTGCACATATCTTAAGCCTGGTCACTGGACTATTCTGTATTTGGAGTCAGCAGAGAGTAGCAGGCAGTTCTGCAGTGCAACTGCTTGAAGTGCAGGCATGTGGACTGGGAGGGGCCGTTATGGTAGCACTTCCATAAGAATTCCCCTAGCAGGTCTAATGCAAACAGGGCTAACATCCGCACTCGTCCTGCTTGCATTAATATGTCAAAACTTTGTCAGCCCTGGGAAGGCTGTGGTAGGTTAATGTTTGAAGCAGTCCGGATGGTGGGACAGCAGCTGGGAAAACCCGGGAGCAAGAGCACATCATCTGATGCTCTACACTGTGCTCTCTGAATAGGCAGAAGGGAAGCCAAACCTGTCACACTGGAGCTTAAGTAAGTTTTCTGCCAATTGTAAAGATCCTTCTGGACTACACTTGTAGCTGATGCTGACCTAACTAAGAGGAGAAATCGATGAAGTCTAGAGTCTAAATTTAGGAATGATCTATGAATGATCTTTGTTGTTCAGCAGCAAGTAACTACTGTGTTGCTTGGGAGCTGGACCTTCTCAGGGCTTCATTTGTCTCAGCATGATGCATTTTCATCTCCCATGTGTGTACAGAAGTTGTAAAAAAAGAAAAAATATTAATTTGACATGGAAACACAAAAAGCAAGAGCTGTATTTCCCTTATTGGGGATATCTGTTCTGAAATAAAGCTGTAAAGAAAAAACCAAAAACCCTGTGTTTCCTTTTGCTTTATCCCTTGGTGACATCTTAAATTAATGTCATGAACACTATATTTATTATCACGGGAACAATGACTGTGACCCCAGAGATTTGTAGGTTATACCTTAAAGGAAGGGTTCTTGGGATTGAAACTTAAAGGAATAGCTCTGTGAGAAGGGAGAGACTAAGGCTGTAAAATGTAATTTTTAAAGTGTTGTAGTTTGAGAAAAGGGATTTTGTTTAAAAAATGAGTAAGAAAGCATTGCTACGTATTTAAGTCTGTTACACAGTTCATTTTACCTTTCAAAATGAAGCAAGAGTCTCACAGTGAGTGGAGAGTATTTTCCCTGGGTGTAAAATTCTGTTAATGTTAGCTAAACTAATGTGATCTACTTTGCTAAAACTGATCACTGTGTAATTTGGATCTCCTTGTACATGAGCTTAAAATAAGGGAATGCTGTGAATTCAGGTTCCTCTTCTCACAAATAGGTGCATTACATGAATTCAAAAGGAATGTATTTAACTTTGGGAATGCAAATGTTATACAGTGTAGTGTTACTTTGCACCAATAGTTCAGAAAAATGAATTGTATTTCTTATAAAAATAGTCATGAAGATAAAAGGAATGTGACAGACTACTTTAAAATATAATTACACTGAAATTTATTTCTGCCTTCGTCCTCTAAACAAAAGGTTTTAATTAAAGAAATCAAAAGTTTATATTCAAAATGAAAAGAAAGATTGCTTTCTAAAAAGCATTAGGAAACTTTAATGAAGTTGCTGGTGTGATATTTCTGGAACTTAATTTGTTCTTTTTTCCTATTATTTTTCTTGTGCTTCTGATCAATTGCAGCTACAGTGTGTAAGTAAAGGGGTTTGGGTACATAGGCTAGTAATACGTGCTTACTTAGAATTATTTAATAACTTTGTCTTGTTCCCTATGCACTCATATTTTATTTTGCTTAAACTTTGGTCTGAAGCCATAATTATTTGCGTTATTCTCTTATGCCTCTTTTTTTAAATTGTGTTCATTCTGTAGAAGCAGTTGAAAGTATCTTGAAGTGTCTTTGAGGTGATGGATTGGCATCTCTTTTATAGTGGAATAGTTACAGAGATTAAGGAAAAATGTCTCTTAATTTTGAGATATCTATGTCCTGATTTTCAGCATAATAATGTTTGGAGCATAGCAGAACTTGTGCTTTGGAGAGATAAATACTGACAGTTGTGTGGTATTAACAATTCTAGAAGTTATACTGGGGGGAGTCTCTAGAAAACGAGGAAGATAAAGAATGAAAAGTATTCTTCAGCTGTTTTTACCTATCATCTGACACATTCTGGGAGAAGGGAAAAGCCTTCTTCAGTCCTACAGCTTTGGCTGGTATGAGATTGGATTATCTTCAGGCACTGAATGAGAAATTTTTAAGTTAGAAATGTTTTTTCTCAGTGGTTTGGTTGTTTGTTTTTTTTTCTTTCTCTCTTTCGTTTTATACTATAGAGTAGTTTAAGTTTTTTAAAAAACTGGCAGACAACAAATGCCGTGAGCAAATGTAGCTACTTTCTGGGTCAAATCCTTGTCATCCTTTTCCATTTTTAATAATATGTTGGATTTATGTTCAAGTTTTCCAGGTATGGCACGCACAAAACACGTGGCAAAGCTAGAGGTAATCAGGAGACATGATAGATACTGAATAACATAAATGGTCTTGCTAATCCCTTCTCCTTTAGGGTAATCATCCTGCCACTGTTGATGACTAGTAGGAAATCACTGACCTGTTACTTTAAAAAAATTCTTTATTGTTTTTATGGAAATGTAACATCTCTATATAGAAACCATGATCATAAAATAGAAAGGAGTATTAGGAGGTATAAAGCAAACGTATGTGGTTCCTCGGAAGCAGCCAGGGAACATCCCCCATTGCCCTGCATCCTTTGGCGCAGGAGCTTTGTGGGCATCCAGCCAGCTACGGTCAGTTATTCTGGAGGACCTGGCAATTCAGTCATCTCCTGAGCATGCTGGAGTGTGCCAGTCCCAGGAGCACCTCCCAGGGAATTGATCTCTAACCTGCTCCGGTTCTCTGTTGTGTGGATACACTGTTTGATTGTACACTTCCTAGGGTAAAGAATGTGTACCTTAAAGCTCTCATCTATTTCCTAGTTCTGTTGCCCATAAAGACAACAGTAACAAAATGACTGGGTTTGAACCTCCTGCTGTGCTGCTGCAGCTATCAGAGATGAGTAGATTTGATGCTCGTTTGGCCTGCAGGAGGAATTCACTCCAGATTGTTGCTTTGTGTGCAAGCTGTGTGCCATAACCTGTGGAAGTCACACAGCTTGCATATGTGCAGGGTGACTGTCGTTAAACTTTTAGGCAGGGAAAGAAAAAGTGTTTTTAAAACAATTGTCATGACTGGAAGGTGGAAAGCAACACTCCTCAGTGAGATGTTGCAGTGTGTGCTTTTTCTTTATTTTCATCCATAACATCTTGATGCTTTAACAGTGGCAATAATCATTGCTCTCTACAGCATATCAATCAGTCGCTGAGGTACTCTCTAGATAATTTTGATTTTCTGGCTCTCATGGTTGGATCATGATTTCCAAGCAGAGCTTAAAAACATACCTCATTTGCTAGTGTGAAATGCCGAATTACTTTTTCTTCCAAATACAGGAAAACAGAAAGGAATAACAATGCTTTTTCCTCCTTGCATTAACAGCATATTAGGTGTGTGTGATACAGTCCCTTTATTCTAAGGGGAGTTCCCCACACTAGTCTTCCTAGCATGGCAGAAGGGAAAATAATTAGTGATTCAACAATCCATTAACAGGGCTCTGTGTGTAGTCAAAGACAGGGAACATGAAGGAACATTATTTAAAAGCTTGCAGTAACTTAATGAAACAACAAATACCATATTTTTTCTGTTTGGAATTTGCTCAGAGAACCACCTTTCTTCTTTTCCAGACTTTCTACTAGGAAATCGAGCACATTCTCCTCAAATACTTATAAACTTGGTGATATTTATTTGGCACATGGGTGTGTTTGTCCTTATCTTCTCTCATGAATCCAGCACAAAGTCTATGTTAGTTAAAGTCTCTTTGATAGCATTTTCAGCGTGTTTCTACTGCTCTGTTTAAACTTGCTCTTGTTAGTGAATAGGTTTCTTCTGCCTTGGCAATGTGCTTTAGAAGTCATAAACCATGCTCCCTGCTGTCTTATCCAAACTTACATTTCTTCTCTTTCATAAACCATCTGGAAGTTGGGATGCGAAAAATTCTAGAGTTTCTAACTTCTGCCTCTGTGTTTAAGTTTATACCAAAAAATTGATTCTCAGGTTTCTTTTGTCAAACTGCTACTGTGCATTTGCATATGTCACTATTTTCTCTTTGTCTTGGAACCATTTACTATTGGATTTTATGATCTTAAATGTCTTTTCCAACCTCAATAATGCTATGGTTCTGCAAAGGTAAAACATGCCAAAACCACCAAGAAAATGAGGCCCTGATAAAAAAGTACAGTGGATGTGCTTCCTATAAATAAAAACCTCTCCACTGGTAATCTAAGTTCCTTTCCTCTGTTGTTTTTTTACAGGATCTTGTTGTCAGGAATTGGCTGTTATTTCATGTGTCTATCCTGTTCTAATTTTAATCCAGTTGCTAAGAATAGTTCCATTAAGTTGTAGCTATTTGCACACTTTAAGAATGCATATGTATTACTAATTTATATGGAGCATTTTTTCTTTTGATGTATGGAAGTATTTTATTAATTGTGTTTTTCCATTCTTCTTGTATTCAGACTACCTTTTACTTGGCATTAGGGTGATCAGTGTGGGTTGTCACTTTGAACAGAAAGCTTTATCTAACATTGTGACTTCATCTTGTAGCCTGAGATTCACATCTCAAGATATTTGTCTCCAGCATCTCATTGAATGAACAAAGCCTCATTTAAAGGATGACATACTTGAAACTGGTTATGTGTGTATTGCTCCATCTAGAATTTTGCCTTGCAAACAGTACAGAGCAATTGCTCCTCTGCCTGTGGTAGCATTTATCATGTCTGACTGAGCTGTCTGAGTTCACACTTTATGCAAAGCTTCCCAAAGGCAAAGTCCACTTGGTTTGCAAATTCCTTTTTTCCCAGAGTTCATGTGAATAACACATCAGCAGTCCAGTTTCATGCCTGTAAGTATTTTAAAACTTCATAGTTTCTCAACATTGAAAGCTCTGGGAATCAGACTTTATGCTTTAAATAACCATAGCAGAAAAAGGCTTATCCTGTGAAACACTATCCTGTGTTCAGTAATAAGAAGACTTTATAAAGGGAGAATAGACGACAATGGAGAATAATGATACTATTTGCAATGTAGATTAATTTTTTCCTCTTTTGTAACAGATTTTTTTTTTTTCTGTCAGAGAAACGTTGAAAAGAAAAACTAATGGCAATGACTGTACAAGCCCAGTTGCAAATACTCCTGGCTCAAAACGGGATGCCCACTTCTGTGCAGTCTGCAGTGACTATGCTTCAGGATACCACTATGGGGTCTGGTCATGTGAAGGCTGCAAAGCATTCTTTAAAAGAAGTATTCAAGGTAGGACTATCAGTTTTTGATAACTTCGCTCAAAAATGTTGTTTCAGGGTTGCAGTGGTTGATCTAGTAATGAGTTGACCAAAAATCCTGGCATGTGGTGCTGCAAGCTGAAAAACAGAGCAACACATGATTTAAATAACTTATCTTTTGGCTGTTATCAAGAAACATTACAAAGTGAGCAACTGATTTCTTTAGAGAAGAGGTGGAAAACACAGCATGGGAAGGTCCTGCAGCAAAAGCCTCAGTGGGATGGCACTGCAAACCTGTGAATCTGATTGCGGTTTGTGTCCCAGAGTAGATACAGTAATTGTGAATTTTTTATAATAAACACAGAGTAGGTAAATATCTGGAGTCTTTGCTAGACAGGAGCTATTCCTGACTAGAGCGTGTTGCCTGGAGCTGTTGAGTCATAGCACATGATACCTACACAACATGTAGGATATAAAAATATGTGGAGCAACTATTAGGTACAAAAATGATTTTTGTTATTTCTCAGCCCTCCACCCCTGAGAGCCTACACTGCAGGATTTCTTCCACTGCCAGATCTCTCCAAGATTTGTACCTCAGGGTTTTAATCCTTAAGTATTTGGTATTTAGTTCAAATTTGTTGAGTGGCTGCAGTATGAAGTAAATGTAGGTCTCCATGTTTGTGATCATAGCCTATGGGCAATGATTTATGCACTGTATTGGAGCTTTGGACCTCTTCATTTCTTGAACCATAGCTCTAGTTAACATGTTATTTGGCCTCGCTTGGCGTCTGTTGGTGGAAACTTACTTGGATTGACACTGGATACTACATGCAGATACTAACAGCAAATCCTGTCATTTTTCAGTTTATAATGTTCCTTTCCTCTTCTGCACACAAAGCCTTTAGCAATCTTGAGGTTTTTTGGGTTTCGGCTCAATATGGCAGAGTTGGTGTCACCATTAGTATCAATTTTAATTCAAAACTTGTTTGGCTTTTCAATTTATTGTGCAAGTTCTGCATGGATGAATAACAACTTCTATACACTAGTGCAGGTACTTTCGATTTCTAAAATAATTGAAGAGAACTTTGTCTTCCATTTGTCACAAATGAATTTGATCTCAGAGTGTTTTCTGTCAGGAAAATTATTTGCTTGCTCTGGGTTGCTCACATGTGCTTTGGCCATGAACAAGGTACCCATTGCGGCCTTTTGTACATCTTCATGTCCCCTGTCAGGTAACGTTTGCTTGTAATTCAAGTAAATGAAAGTAAGTTCTTGGCATAAAACACTAGCAAGCACTCGGTTGTAGCTGTTGTTATGAGGGGTAGTGCTTATAAAACCAAAAATCTTCTGGGCCTACTTATAGACCAAAACATTGGGCCAGTGTCTAATTAAAATTACATGGTATGACTGAGCAACTGTGTGTGGTCTCCTCTGCTTGCCCAAGTTTGTACTGTAGTGTATTTGTCCCACATTCCTGAACATCTTCCTGCAGGCTGAATTATCCCAAGGTCACAGGAGATTTAGACCAATTTATACTCCTGTGTGCTTGGGTTATAGTGCAACAGAAAGCTTCTTCTTCCTTTACCCCGCATGTTGTGTGAAGAGTGATAAACAGTAATTTGTTTTTCAGTCATATCTGCCAGTAAGAAATGGGACAAACTGTAACCTGATCTCTTTAAAATTGCCATTTCAAAAATTCAAGGTTAAAATTATTTTAATTTTGCAAAGAAATAGTCACAATGGTTCAGTTAAACAGTTACTCTTGGGGACATGAACTCTTGGACTTCCATCAAGTAAAAAAAAAGCCTCTAGTAATGCTATCTTTGCCTAATCTGTTCTTAAAGCTTGAAAAAATAAATTTAAAACCCACAAGCTGAGAGAAGTAAGAACTCTAAATGCGTGAATATTTTTTTCATCCTTTGCAGTATTTGGCAGGAGGTTATTTGACTGTATTTACACCTAGCGCACCTCCCAGTTTACAGTAATAAAACTTTGGGACCAGATTACTGATTAATGAAATACAATAACGTAAAGGAATTTGGGTAGGGGTGACATGAGGTGGGAGAAAAGGAGAAGAGAACAGAAGAGGCTGTAGTGGAAACTAGTAATAGTAAGAGAAACACTTGTCCAGATTATCTATAAGTTATACCTTCTGCTTGTGCTTTTCTTTGTACAAATCAGTACAAGTCATTTTAAACTAGTCTTCTTTCTATCTTGAGCTGCTTTTTAAATTAACTTTGATCCAGAGTCAATCCTCCAAAGGCTTCTTCATTCCTGGAACTCACCAAGTCAGAGAGTGCAGTTAAATAGAGCTGGAGTTTACCTAAAGCTTTGCAGGACTAGAGCTGTGTGCCCTGACTGCTGTTTTCAACTCTGCTGAGGAAAAAATAATTTACTATCTACCACCTGTATCAGTCCCAGTAAGAAGTTGGAGGTTGGGAGCAACTTTCCACAAGAGTGTATGTCTCACTTTCATAAATGAATTGGTATTAGAAGGTGCTTAGTTGTCTAACAGTCATCACTGAAAACTGGTGTATGTGCCTGGTTACTTTTTGAGGCCACAGATCGATGTTTTAGGTAAAAGAAAACGTACATTTTTTCATCAGTTAAATTAGTGGAGCTTAGATAGATGCATGTGAAGAAGCTGTGATGCTTAAAACCAAGAAGGTCCTGGTTTGGGAAATGACACAGAGACTGTTGGAGATGTTAAATTTACTCCTCTTCCTCTTCTGCAGGACATAATGATTACATCTGCCCAGCTACCAATCAGTGCACGATAGATAAAAACAGGCGCAAAAGCTGCCAGGCGTGTCGGCTACGGAAATGTTATGAAGTGGGAATGATGAAGTGTGGTGAGTTTTGCATGTCTGTGTTGATTGCTTGGTTTTGCTGGCTTTTTTTTTTTCCTTTTTCTTTTACTTGGAATCCTAAAAAGGCCCAACAGGCAATTAAAGCAAGGTTTAAGCTGGTTTTATAGGAAGAAGTGTACCAATTCTTAATGCAAAAGATTTTCATTTTCAGAAGAAAACCTGTGGGAAGACGTAAGGTGTAGGTTGGACACATGAAAACCATAGTACCTCTGCAGAGCTCTCTGAAGGCAGTTTACTTCCACGCTGTGTTTTGCAGAATGGGAACCCAAGACTAGCTGCTGCCTAAGCCTCAAATCAGACTGAAATCCTTTCTAATATGGGGTAGATGAGCCTGTACTATGCTCTGCTGGCTGAATATAAAGCAGTGCCCCATCAAAGCAGTAGTTAATTAACCCAGTATTCTGCTTCAACAGCGGCTTTGGGAAGAGCGTTAAGAATGAGACTAGCACCTGTGTGAAACTACTGCTGACATCTCAGCTCCCTGAAGTTGAGGACTTCTGGTTTAGAAGAGGTTTCTTGTAGGTGTCTTAATATATTAAGAGAATGGCAACTTTTCCATTGTCCCTCTTTTTAGTCCTATGAAGTCTTATCATCTACAATATCCCACAGCAGCTTGACCACCTGTCATGTGAAGAACCAGATCCTTGCTTGCCAGGCTTCTTTATGGGGCTTGGTGGGGCAGTGAGGGGAAGGCAGTGGGTACTCTGTTCTTTTTTACAACAAGCTATTTTCAGATGATGCCACGCAGCTCTTCTATCAAAAGAAGTAGTGAGCAAACATTCTTTGTTACTGCACCATTCAGAATTATCCAACCTTTTCTCTTCCTGTCTTGTACTTGCAGTAACGTGACTTCAATGTAGTTGCACATTTACAGATTATATTTTAAAGGTTACTTTTAAGAAGAAAGTAACTTTAAGATATTTCAATATCTAATATACTTTCGCAGCCAAGGTCTGTTGGTTCTTACAGATTCTCCAATGTACATGATAGAAATAGGCTGGGAAAACATTATATAGGAACACTGGAGTGAAAAGAAGAAGGGCCTTGTGCTTGGTCTGCTGTGATTTGCAGGCATGCATCTTATTCATCCCATTTAATGTAGATACCTATTTCTATTTCAAGGCTAAGCACTGTTTTAGTCCTCCCACTGCTTTGATCTGAAGGCTGTTTGCAGAATATTATTTCTTTTATTAGGAGAATTCTTTAGAATTACAGCCTCCATTATTGATGGACAATTAATGCCCATTTGTTCTTGTGGCAACATTGTCCTGTAGCTCCTCCTTATTGTTAACGGTCTGGTTGTGTTTATGGTCTACATCACATCCCCTCATAATCTTTGTTTTATTATGCTTCATAAACCAAGAAGTCTCCTCTTTTTGCAAAATAGGAAAGTATCTGAAAGTCATCAGGGTAACTTGTCCCTGTCTGCCCCAGAATTAATCCATTTTTCACTTGGATGATCAGAACCCTGGACAGTATTTCTGTGAACTCCCTTCACAGTAGTAGCACTAGTATCTCTTACCATGGGAGCTTTTCCCTCCTTACAACCCAGGATCCTATCTGCCTTGTTCATGGTTGATTTCAGCTTCTCAGTTCATTTCTAGTTGATAACTCCCAGCTTAAAGCTACAATTTCATTGTTCCTTGTATTATTTCTGTACTTGTGAAGTACATCTAGTTTCTGTTGCTCAAGTCATCTAGTTCTTGCTATATGAAGCTCCTTTCTTCTTCTGCACTGATGATGCATCTCAAAATTATGGATGTTTTTCATTATTATGGTCTCAGTTACCTTTGCTGTCTGGTCTCCAGAAAGTAAAACCTTACACTTGCAAATGAGACTCCTTTTGAAACCTTACTTTTTGAATGGTGTTACTGTCTTTTTTTTTGATCAGATCTTTTTGATCTGATATTTTATTCAAAGTTTTTTGAACAGGGCTTTTTATCAAGCCCCAGTTCTAGAGTTGGAGAGATTTTGCAAAGATTGATTCCAGTATGATATTATACGGTGGTCCTCACCAATGCTTTCCTTAAGCTAATACTTTCTTTCTAATTGTCCAGAAAGTCCTGGTTTGTGATTAGATCTCATAAGCACTATGGTATTACAAGTAATAAATAACAATATGTACTTATGTCTTAGCCTGTGTTCTTTTTAATCTTGTCACATATTCCTAAGCATATTTTCCTACAATAATGAATGTTGTAGGGCATTAATGACTGTGCCAGACCAAAAATGATACTTTGAAACTGTTAAGAGGAATTTTATTTAAAAAATAATTTTTCTAAGTAGTAGCAGTGAAATTTGAGACTCCTGAGAATTTTATTTGAAAACCTAAACAGTTAAATTTCAGAAAACTGAATATAAAAATTAGTCAGAATTTTCTGAGCTGCCTCATCAGTTAAGTGGCGTCTGTGAGTAATGCTGATGCATGGACACATTGTGACAGCCATTTAAACTAGACAGATTTTAAGACTGTATTTCTTGCATAAAATGTAATTGCTATTTCCTGCAGACCACAGTGATTATCTTTCAAATTTTGTCTTGTTAGAGCCATGCTTTAATGCCAATTTTTCATTGTAGAAAGCTGTAAAAGAGTATGTTTTCTTTTTAATGGAGGTTTTTCCCCCATCTCTGCTCCTTTTCTAGGTCACTTAGTGAATACATTGGCTCACATCTGCTAAAACCGTGAATAAGGTAGAATGGTTTGTAAGTGCGTTTTTTGCTCAGTGGAGACTTCTTGTCCAACAGAAGTGATAAAAGAACCTCAATTACTGCTTTGTAGTTTATGAAAGCTCTCCATAAAAATTCTGTGCTATTTGGATCAAATCTTTTAGTCCTTATTTTGCATCTTATCAATAGACACCTTGAGAAAAAAAACTGTGTGTGAATAGCATACATTTCTGTGTGTAAATGTGATTATGCAGTACATGCCATTTTTAAAAGAGGAGGAGACAGTAGGCAAATGTGGCTTTGGAGTTTCCTGGTCTGAAGTTCTCTTGGATGTCATAACATTCATAAATGTTGAGAATCAACCCAAGAAGCCACGTATATTTCAGTGGAAGCCAGCTGGGGGTTCTTTGTATCAATATGATAATGAATTTTCTTACAAAATATACCATCATTGCCAAAAGCACTGTGAGGGGCTTGGACACTGCAGCTGCCAATTTCACTGTAGGAAGTCTGTGTTGTGCGCTGTTCCAATCAAGAACACTACTGCCAGATTTTGGCACTAGGACTACCAGAAATGGTAGAAAAATAATTGCAAGGCACTGTCAACAGGAACAAGGAAAACAGAAATACTGCAGTAAACTTCCCAGCAAACTCAAATAAACCGGACTGGGATAAAATTGATCTTCTCTTGGAGTTTTCTGGTGTTTACCTGAGCAGCTGAAATGGACTATAGGCTGTTTGCCAAAGGTAGTAAAGAAGAGGGGAGTTACTTCATCACTTAGCTATAGCCACTCTGGGAGCAGCTATACTTGTGCTTTTCTTTTTTTGGTTCCTGAGGCTCAAATAGACCTTCCTCCATAAGGAGTTCCTAAGGTTACCTTTTATTCCTCCACTCCATCCCACTCCTTTTCTCCCAGGTGCCAGGTCTCAACATACTGAAAATGCCCCAAAAGTTCTTCCTTTCTGTCCCCTCTCTGCCCCAAGTGAGGAGGTTGAGGGGGCATACTAAGAAGTGATGGAGTGGTGCTGCCCTTGAATAGTGGCATTATTCAACAAATTTGCAGAAAGGAAACCACAACTCTCTGTGGGCTGATATGGTTCAGGAGTTGGCTCTTTTTATGTCCTGTGTGTGGCTACTGTGTGCAGTTTCCAGAGAGCACTTTGGAATGCTATAATTATTTTTCATACAGAAAGTAAGTGGGGCAAAAATATTTCATGTCATTTGTTGGACATAAGATGTGTTAATTATATTTTAGCTATTATAGATATTACTGGAATTTCAGCTCGTGTTCTTGTGTGTGTATGGCAGATGGCAGCTTCTTTGTCAGTAGGTCTGCTCTGTGAATACAGGTGTACTCACCAGATTTGCATTTGCTTTCAAGGGAGACTGGAGTGATAATGATTTACTAATGTATACTTGAGTGAGTTTTAAGCTCAAACACTTGCAAAACTTATTATAATATATTCAGTGGTAGAACCTGCAGTTGCTGCTGAACTGGTTAGTTACATTAGCAGTTGCCAGGGACCAAGATCAATATCAAGAGCAACTTGTAACTACCAACCATAACAGACAGCATTTGCCATTTTCAAAGAATTTGTAAAGCAGGAGTTGCTTTAAAAATAGCGTGTTTCACTGCCAATAATAGTTGTTGTGGCTTGTTCATGGGTAAGTGAACAGGCTCATTTTAATGACTTCTTTTTCAGTTTGTCTTATTTCCTATCTTCCTGTGATCGTATACCCATGTGGTCTATGATGCTGTAGTTTGAGGTCTTGCCCTTGGCGCAGCGTTCTCATCTGAATACAGCTATTTTCTTGTGTAAATAATAGATCTAAATAAGGAGAATGCTGTAGGAAGGAGGAGGAATTTTATCATCTTGTGAATTTCTGCAGTTGCCTGAATTACCTTTATATGAATGAATATTAGCTATTAAATATAGTTGGGGGATTTGTGGTGAAGTCAGGGATAGTCCCTTATCTGGGAAGCTCTATGTATTTTAATGCCATGACTTTACGCAGATTGATCCCCATCTCTGTGTCTGGTTAAGCCAAACATAAAGCTGGCCTATAATTATTTATGATATATAGTTTTATAAGCACTTAAACATACCTCTTGGATGCTAACAGACATACATGTAAGATTTCTGGGTCCCACCTAAATTTTGGATTTGATTAGGAAGTACTGAAGTTTCTTTCTGTTGTTAAAATGTGTGTCAATTGGAAAGGCTGCTACTTTCTGATGTCTTAATTGACAAGCAATTAGCAACCTTAAATATTGTTTTCATAGCTGCGTAATCTTACAATGCACTTTTTAAAAATACAAGCAGAATGAATTTTACTGTAGAAATAAGTGATATCTCTTAATTAATGACAAAGTAATTTTATGCCCTGCTCAGTGAATCAGCCTTCACCTGCTTTGACAATATATGCTGATTAAAAATTGCAAATAATAATTCAGAATTTGGTTTTGTTGGGTTTTCTTTCCTCCCCTTTTTTTCATCACCAGCTATATTTTTTTACTAACAAGTTTTTTATGCAGAAATGTCATAACACTCCTGGTTTGGCTTCTACACTGGAGTTGTGATTATAGAAACTTTTTACATTTTAAATAAAGCATTTTTATTGTAATAAGTACTGGCTGTATACAAAGTCTGATTTAGTTAAATAACCTAAAGTAATTTAAAGGTGATTGCTATTTCCCAGTAAGAACCCTTCACAGCTACTGAGAGCTTTAATACTATCAGTAAATATCACAACCTGACTGAATTATATTAAGACAGAGGATGGAGTGCAGCTGTGTGGATGAAAATTGTACAAGATTGTATCAGAACAGGATATCGGACTATTATTTTTTAATTTAAACAAATATTTCTTTCTTTTTCTTTCTTTGGTCTTTGTTAAAGTACCTGGTCACTTACCTGTGCGTTTATATACACACAAGAGTATAGAAACACACCTGTTTATATGTATGTATATATATGTGTGTGTGTATGTATATGTTTATATATATATGTATATATAATATAAACACACCTGTGTGTTTATATCTTGGATGGGTTACAGAATGTTATTAAAAATCTTTACAATAGTGAATTAGAAAGGATAATTCAAGTGTTGCCACCAAAGACCTGATATTTTCCATGCCACAGAAGTCGGGGTGACAGTATAGGAGAGCTAAGGACAGGTGATCAGAGGATGAGGAGCCCACAAGACTGTGCTTGGTTCATTTCAGTGCAAGGAACTGAACTAGGGTCAGTGATCTGGTTGCAAGTGCTTGCTTGACCACACATTGCTTCTGGCAGGTATATCCAAACCGCTGGAATTTCTTCCTTGTGTCATCAGGCATCTCCTCCTCACCCTAATTCCCTCTTAAACCAGTATTTTTTCTGACTTTATAATTGTAGATATGGTCCCTAACTGAAAACTATGTCTATTGTGGAGCAGTTGGTATTTTTTGATAGCGCAAGAAAATTTCTCTTCTGTACTGCCTACGGCTTTTAGTTCCTCTGTGCTATTTTTCTTGTTCTGTCCTTCGAGGTGCCCATTTTCAATGTTCTTCTGCTTTCTCAATAGTAGAAACAATGTGCGGGGTTTCTTCTTGCATTAGTTTGGATGCCTACTGGTGGTTACTGTCTCTACAATAAACATTCATATGGAAATCAGAGCTATGGATCTCTGTAGAGAGAGCACCCTGATATCTAGGTATTTCCTCATCTCTTCAGAGTTGTACTTTGTTCCAGTTGCTTAGCTCACTGTCGACCTTTCCTCTTTGTCTTCCCTGGTGGAAAATATTTACGTACTTTCATGCATGACATGACTTCAGAAGAGTCGGCAGCCCAATGTGCCATTCTGTTTTTCTAAAGCTGACAAAGCACTTCAAGATTTTCCTCTTGACCTTGGTGCATTAGTCCAAAATGAGGCTTAGCGCAGAGTTCTCTGAGGCTTATTGAAACATGCGCTATATTGTCCAAGCGTCTTTGTAGAAATTAGTCTATGTCTTGCTGTCTTTTGACTCTCTAATGAAGAAAAGGATTTGCCCAGACAAATGGTTGAAGAAATTGCTGTGTGACTGGCACAGTTCTCCAGCTATCCTTTTTTTTTTTTTTTTTGGAGTATCATCATCAAGTCTGATTTTATGAATATACCATAACATGTCTCAAGTTCTGATTGTCTTTGCTGATATGTTGTATCTTTCCATAAGTACAGTTCACCTGCTCTGGCAACTAGATGTCATTTGGCCAAGCATTTGGTTCTGCAAATCACTGATTGTTTTCCTTCAATCCATTATTTGTGCAAATATCCTGTCTGTACTCAACCCATTTTATCCTATCCATATTCCGTTTAAGGATGCAAAACCGTCCTTGCCCCAAATTGTGCAGACTTTCAAGCTGGACTTCCAGCTGATAATGCTTCCAGTTTCAAATGCCTTCTTACACTTGGATTCCTCCATGACTGAGGACTGTTTATTGGACCAGCATTGCCTATTTGTCTTCAGTCTCTTGCATTTCCAGGTAGAGGGTGTTCTGTGATATTGAGAACTTCTGTAGTGGTCATTCTGTTCTCTTTTCCATCAGAAATGGTTTACTAAACATGCAGCAAGTGAGAATGATAGCAATATGCAGTTGAGAGTTCCACATCCTTAAAGTGCATCCTTATCTATTCTTTTCAATGCCTTCAGGCTGTACCCAGCTGGCCTTTGCATCTCACCCCTTTCACGGGTTGCTCAAATGGTGCTTGATAGCTGAAGACAAGCCATGATTATGAACTGGAAAGCCACTTCATCTGAGGAACCTCCACCACTGAGAGGCTGCATTCACCCAGAATCTTATTTAGCAAGACAAAGCCTTGTCACTAATTTCAGCATCTGAATTTTTTTTTTTTAATTTATTTTTAATTTGGCTTATGTTTGAATCTCTTTGCTAATTGAAACCCACAGCCAGAATTGCATTGCCTGGATGGAATTTAGACAATACATGGTGGCTATGGATGAAGAACGGTAGGAATCACTGAATCCAGTAGCTTGACAAGGGAGACTGCCACATTCCCATGTCCACAAGTAGTGAGTCTGAGTGTGTACTGTTATTAGGCACATATACACACAATACCTGTATCCGCAGTCAGCCACATGCACCAGCAGAGATAGAAAATACAGTACTCGTGCAAGTAAGCAGTGCAAAAGACATGCATTCATACAGTATGAATCCTTTCAGTACCTGGGTTTAGACACTCTGTCAAGTAGTTGGCCGGTGGATCTCAGTATCTCCTCAGCTGATGGCCTTTGGGACTGCAGCCTCACCCCAGTTGCTGGTATTCAGCCCTTCCCTCCCACAAATGGCCACAGAAACACACATGTACTATAGATCCCTCCAGTAAGTGGCTTTAGAAAGTCAGTGTTATCCAGTAGCTGGCCTCTGGACCCTCTGTTCTTCCAGGTGCAAACTCTCCTGTATGCATGAGCACACATGCACATACACATGCAAAAACAGGTCCATGGCAGCATGGTCCAAACCTACTGCCCTACCAGAAGTTGACACCCAGGTCCTCTGGTCTTTCTAGTAGGTGGCTTGAAGTACCTGGCCTCTCCAGGTGAACTGAAAAGCCTTTGCTGTTGACTTGTCTGCAGGGTGTTGTGCCCAGACCATAGGCTGAACATTCTCCCTTGATAGCCCTGAAAGTAGCCTAGGCAGTGTGTTTTTTGTCACTGATTACAAGTTCTTAGGATTCTTCTATCTTCATCATTCCTTTACTTCTTTGTCCTCAAGCTTTATGAAGCCTTTAGTTACATACCCTATTGAAGAAGAACCAGTTTGTGACCAGGGCATGAAGTCTTCAGGCAATACATTGGAAAGAGTTCATAAATATAATAATGTCAAAGTAGTAGCAGTAGCAAAAAGGATGGTTTAGTCAAATTTATTGTGGAATTGAAACCAAATGGAGGAGCTTACTGTGCATAGAGACTCCATTAGTCTCTATGCGTGCAATAATAAATGTTGATGTAGTATAGATTTATGTTAGCATAGGCATTTTAATATCTATGAAAATTCAACTTTTGAGTATCATATGTCAGTAAAAGTGTTGATGACCAGCACAAAAAATTAACTTCTGAAAGATTTAGAGGACAATTCAGCTGTGATATTAGACATATTAAGTGCTGAAAGATTCGAGTTGAAGGATCTCTTCAGTAACTTAATATTTTTAAATATCCTGGTTTTCAATACGGTACAATCTATGGTGCATTAGTTACTGCCAAGAATTATCTGTAAATCAGTGAACATAGTCCTTGTTATATAATATACTGAAGGGGTGAGTGAAGCAGAAGCCATGGCTGAGTGTTTTAGTAAATACCCATACCATGTTTGTGGAGATGCTTTTAGACTCTTTCCATGGCATCTATGCAAGAACAGGTAACAGTGATCCTACCAATAACACTGACTGAGAATTGGAGAATGTTTGGTATTGATAGAATGAACAACAAATTAAGTCCAATAATTTAAAGGGATCCTTGCAACACAAATAGCATTCTGCATGCAGAGCCCTCCAAACAGGGGGCTTGCTCTTTCCAGTTGTAGATCTGAATTAGCTTTGGGGAAACTCCTGCTGTCTTAATGGGATGTAGGGAAAAAATGGGTTGCATCTCAGTGAGTCCCTAGCTGAACAGGCAGCTAGCAGTAAAGCCCAGCTGTGCTTCTGGCTGACATATTTACTGTCTATCATGGCCCAGACTTCCAGAAGTCTTCTCTTCCCCCAGTTTACATCTAAACCAGAATTTAAAAACAGAATTTACAAACAGCTATCTTTAATTGCATTTAAAGACATGATGTATCTCTCTTTTCATGTCAATGGGAATTTTCCCATGGATGTTTAAAGTCAGTTAACTGAAGATCAAAAGCAAACATTTTTAAAAGTTATTTTTTGTTTAGTAGAAGAAACAAAAGCCTCAGCTGAAGTCAGTAAAACAAAGCTAAGTTAATGCTGAATGCTCTAGAAATTCTGAAGCTTAATGGTCAGTACTAGGATATCCAATATTAAATGGTTTTCCCACTTGTCCCCATGCATTTGGATTTACATAATGCAACGCTAAGAGAAAAATGTAATCACGTGTCTCTTGTGTCAGGCTCAAGAAGAGAACGTTGTGGGTATCGGATCCTGCGTAGCCATCGTAATTCAGAAGATCACATGCATTGCATTGGCAAAGCTAAGAAATACAGTGAGACAGCAACCCGTGTAAAAGAGATCCTGCTCAGCACAGTCAGTCCAGAGCAATTTGTTTTGACACTACTTGAAGCAGAGCCTCCCAATGTACTGGTGAGTCGTCCCAGCAAACCATTCACGGAGGCCTCCATGATGATGTCCCTGACAAAACTGGCAGACAAAGAGCTGGTTCACATGATTGCTTGGGCCAAAAAAATTCCTGGTAAGTATTTCAGTCTTGGTTTTTGTTTGATCGCAAAAGCATTGGCTTAAATAGTGTGTCATTGTCTACCCTGAAATAACAGCACAGCACAGTAAACATGAATATGAAAGTCTTAAGATTTTTATAGTTTAAAATAATAAACAATTTATTGCTCTCAGTAATTCACCTAGATGTATTTTCATTTAGACAGTGACCTAGCTCACAATTTGCTACCTGTTGTTAGTCAAATACTTGTTCATTTTGCTAAAAAGCATAGTTGCTGTTGCATGCAATTTCTACCTCGTTAGCTATAAATACCTGATTAATCTGATTTAAAGGTTCTTTAAAAGGGTATTAACTGGTTTGCTATAAAAGACTGAAAGACCAATATTTTCCTTGAATCCTGTTAAAAGGTTTCTAATACAGTTGAAAACAAAATTGTGTCCAAGCAGTCAGTGTCTACAATCACTTCGTTTGACATAGTTACTACACAAGAATGTCAGATTGCAAAGTGGTGCATAGTATCAATCTCTGAATTATCATGTGCTGTCCTTCAAAGCAAAAATCAGTAAGGATGCGTTTGGTTGCTGGCAACACAGAAAACGTACACTGAAGTTCAACTACATGCGTTATTGTCTTGAAGGTCTCAAATGCCACCCCAGTATCATGGCAATGTACCATTTCACTTCTTATAACCTACAGGTGGTGAGCATTTGCAATTCCTTCTCCATTAAGCATCCATGATTAAAACAGAATAAAGAATAAAAGTCAGAATGAAAGCAGCCAGCACACAGAGATGGTAGTTGGCAAAAGTGTGCAGAAAAACTTGCTGGCTGGCATAGGCTAAACCGCAGACTGTAGCCCTTCAGCAAAAGCTAAAGTGACCAACTAACAATAGTGAGCTGAAAGAAGCACTGAATAATTGATAGACGTAATAAACACATGGGCTGAGCTGAAAGAAGCGCTGAATAATTGATAGACATATAGCAGCATGGGGCTTAATCCTTAATTTAAGGTAGAGTACTCTGCTAGAATTGACTAACATATTCTGCAGTGTGCCTGGTAGTTCTAACCCCACGTCCATCATGACTGAGGAGCCAGCACACAACAGCTCCTCACTTGGATTTTATGCTGAAGGTAGTCAGAGCGTGCTGGTGCATGCCCTGGTCTTGTCATGCTTGTGCACTATTAACAGTATTTGCTGCTGTTTAAATACACATACACAGGAAGACTTGGCAGTAATTGTTACATCTAAAGATAAACTGAGAGTGGACATAGTACAAGAAACAAGGAATATTTCATATAATCCTTGAACTAAGAAGCCAATCCTGTTTCAGATCTAGGTGGAGTGGCTGAAGGTGCTATTAGCTCCAGCTGCTGGATCATATCTTCTAAGTGCAGATTACAGTCTTCACGGCTTAGCCACTGTGTTGGAGTATGCAGGTGTGATAGTTTTGGGTGTGCAAATTCCAGGTCTGCTGTTAAGCTACTGGGGAGCAGATACTTGTGCAGCATGAACATCTTAAGCCATCTAGCCATCTGCAGCGCAATAGTGGTTTTGCTGTTAATGTGGAATGTGTTACACTGAAAGCCCAAATCTTAAGTAGTGTCGATGCTAAAATTTCTTGTTTAATCGGAAAAACTAAACTTGATTAAAAAGTACTATTTCAGAGTACTCTGTATGGTTATGTTAACCTGGTAGGAAGTGAATTGTGAAGGAAAACCAGGGAAATTCTTTGAAAATGACCTCATTTTAAGGAATATTTGGGGGGGGGGGGGAGGCGGAAACCAACCAACCTTTCAATTTTCTGTTTATTCTTAATTTCTTTGTTATTTTTTTTTTAAACTATGTCAGCTTTTTTTTTTGAGAAAACAGCCACAGCCCAAAGCTTCAGCCAGCTGAGATTGATTTTTTTGATTTGTTTTTAAAGATCAGCTTCCAAAGCAACCCAAATTTTGACATTGATAACTTTTAGTTTATTTTCAACGTATGTCAGAAAAGAAAATCCTTTTCTTGGCAGTAAGAGAACTGTATAAAGAAAACCCACTGAAACAATCAACCCCCTTCAAAACAGTTCCAGGCAATGTTGACCCTTCATCTTGTATGTTTGGTTTGGGTTTCTTTTTCTGATCACTCCTGTTACACAGAACAGAAACACCATTTTAGAACAATGTCAAAAGTAGATGTGATTGTTTAATGTGTTCCTAATGTAATAATATTGCCATAGCACATGGCAGTTAGAGCATTTACTTTGATGTGGATTTATTTATTTTTTACATTAAAATAACCAAGATGTCTAAAGCTCAGGACACAGAATTTCAGGTTTTGAAACTTTTTGCCTGAAGTTAATCATCTCGATCCATGCCTGGTTCCTGGAGGTAGGTTCTTAGGAAAAAAATACGCAGACTTCTTGAGTAATGGCCCACTGAGCAGTAACTTTAACTTCTGTAAAGCTGAATGTTTGGTTTTGTGTGCCAGGGCTTAGAAGCCCATTTTTACCTCTAAGTTATTACTGGATATTATTTTGACACTCACTGAAAGTGAAAGAAAATCTTTCTTTTTCCTCACAGATGCTTATGTTAACAGTAGCCCTAAACAGGAAAGATACATTTTGAGGGCTTTTTTTTTCATATTTAATATTTAATGAAATTCTTTTGTTAGCAGTTGTGCTCTGTGTCTGTAATTTTGTCTGTACTTTCAGTTTAATGGATTGTATTTTTGTTGTTGCTCAGTAAACTAGAATCTGATACATGAATTTTTTTCCTTCTCAATTACAAGCATTTTAATCCTTAATTGTCAGATGGCAGAACTTCTGTAACTGCCTTTTACTTTGTTTACCTTGTCTAAGATAGTTCAATGTGGTTCAAAGCTGAACTGTGTTGCTAATAGAATGTTGTCATAATACTGAAACTTGGATTCATTATGCAGCCTCGTGTGCTGCTGACCAGAGCAGCATGCCTTTTGCTAGTCACTACCCATCCAGCACAACAGTTTTTCTAGTCTGTTTTAATAATTCATAATTAAGCGATTAGGTGTAGAGCGCACAATTTAAAGGACATGTAGTACAGCCATAGAAAAGTAGTTTAATGTATTCTGCAGCAAATGAACTAGAACTTCTGACACTCCAGTAGAAGCTGTGGTGGTTGTGTGCTGCCCTCAGTAATGCACAAGATTGTTATGAAAAGGAAAGGTATTGTCCTTCTAATGGCTGTGCTCAGGGTTCATAAATCATACTGCTAGTGCGGATAATGTGAGTTTAGCAGATGACATACAGATAAAGCTGGATGTTTGAGTATCTGTAGATTGCACGCTGGGATTTGGTCTAACATCTCACTCAACTGAGATAGTTTTTTAAACCAAATAACTGTTTGTTTGAGCTGGAGAAATCAGGGCACTCTTGTGTAAATGTTTATTTAAATGAACTGAAACGTCTCTTGGTCATTGTTTCCCAGGAAGCTGCCACTTTTAGTTTCTCCCATTCACGCTTCCATGGTTATTTTTCTAAAAGCATTTTTAAAATTTTGAGTGTGTGTCTGGCAGACAATCTGTTGTTGGATGTGGATTCTGTACTAAATTATGTGACAGTGAAATCCGGGAGGGAAGGTGTTCGCTGTCTCCTCTTTAGCCTTCTTACACAACGATGAGCAAGCCATTTTGAAAGGCAGCACTTCTATTAATGATAAGAGTGTGTGCACATTACCCAGTTTATATCAGCCCAAGACTGTCACCGACTGTCTTCCAGCTTAGTAGTTTAATAATATTAAAATATATGGAGCATTTGTATAAATTGCTGACAGCAGATTCTTTGATGGTGCAAACGTATTGTGTGTATTTTAAGACGTCAGACATCTGGCAAGAATGGGGAGCCTGTCTCCCATGGCCAGGCTGTAATGATTTTTTCCCCGTGCAGAGCAGTAGGTATCAGCTCATCTCAAAGCACCTTAGGATAAGATAGAGACCTATCAGCTCTGCTTTGAAAAGTGGCCTGATCTTGGTTTTGACCACTGAACTGGTCTTCATCATATCTGTTTTACTATGACTGAGCAGTCTGCTTTCCCACTTGCATTTTGGTAATTTACACTTCTGGCCTTTTTTTTCAGGGTGTGTAAATTTTATGTCTATCCATATGGCTACTATACATCTTTTTTTTCCCTAGTGTTTTTTGCAGGGGGAGGGAAAAGGAGGGCAATGACTGTCTCTACCTTCTGGCTGTGCTGCAGTGTGATCCAGTGCCTTGATGTAAATTCTGGAGAGAACTAAATGATGAAACAGTTTTATGCACAATTGTATTTATCCTGTTCTTGCTGCTGGAATGCTGTTTGTGAATGCAGTGGGGACATTGCTACCTTCACCAACCACCCCTGTCTCCTTTTGTCTGGGTTTGTTTGTTTGTTTGCTTGTTCTGGTTTATTGCAGTTTTGAGGAGGGAGGCAGCAGGAAAGGGATGGGAGGGGTCAACTCATGGCATTTACAGAGGGACTGACAACACAGAGGCATCAAGATTCTTTAACAGTTAGGCAAGAAACCCGGGAACATGTCTGTCTTATGAGATTAAAAAAAAAACAAACCAACTGCAAAGAGCAACCATTTGCATTCTGGGGCAAGAACAGACTAATTTCTTAGGAGCCCTCTGCAGTGCAGTGCAGTAACCTCCAACTTGAGTTTCCCAAGTGATTCTCTGGGGCCTTTCTGGATGCTGTCATCTAAAGAACTGGCCCAGCGTAAGGCTAGTCCTCTGCAGCCACTTGAGTTTTACCAGCTGTATACGGGTAGTTGCACTGGAACATCACTCTGTTATTTCAAATGTTTTGTGGAAGATTTGAGAATGATAATAATATATATTTATGTTTCTATTTGAGACAGCAGCATGCTGCTTCTGGTGTCAGTGCTCCCTTTTCTGGCTTTCTTCACAGCACGTAATTCTTTCTATTTCTTTTTGTTTCTCATATACTCGGACTCCCTTATCAAAACACAGAAATAAAGAGGTTGATTTATGTTATCTTCATTTTTTTTAGGCTTCATTGATCTCAGCCTCTATGACCAAGTAAGACTCTTGGAGAGCTGCTGGATGGAAGTTTTAATGGTTGGTTTGATGTGGAGATCAATTGACCATCCTGGGAAACTGATTTTTGCACCAGACCTTGTCTTAGACAGGTAAAAGCATAATAAATTCCTTGAGAGCACTTCACATTAGCATGCCTGGAGGTAAGAGCAAGAGGATTAAGTATGGAGATGCTATTAATATTTTATCCAACAACATAATTTACTTGTATTTGTAACAATAATGTCTTGAGGTTCCACATCCTTACAGGGGCTTACCTGTACCTACCCATTCCTTACCTACAGGTAAAGGAATACTAAGTATAAACAGTGTTGTTGAACCTGCATATTCCTGAATTCCTGTAGCTTCACATGACAGTTTGAAGCTTTTCTGTATTTTTCACACCTTCTGTCGGCTTTGTTCTTTATGGTCCAGGTCTCTGGATGCTGTAACTGTTGACACAGCAACGCAATGCACTACATTGGCGATTTTCCCCATTTCCCTCCAAAAAAGTAGACTTAATGTCAGGCCATATTTTAATTGAATAGCTTTTCTGCCTGTTTTTCTTCCTGCCACTGCTGCTGTTCTCAATAGCAGGGAAGAATACAGATAAGTAAGGAGGTTTTTCTACAAGACATTAGAAGGATTTGGAGTTTTGTAATTCTCCTGCATTGCTGTGCTTAAGTCTTCCTCTTATTAAAAACCTTACGGAGGAAAAAAAAGCAGCATATTACAGAAAGCATAAGAAGCATCCCTTTGAATATTGTGTTGTATTCAATACTGTGAATTTTTGAATACCGTGTTGTATACTACTTAATTGCTTTTTTAGTCCAGTACACGTAAAAAACAAACCTAACCAAAAAACTGGAACACTAACTAAAGTGGTGTGAAGTTTGCTGCTGCTTAATTTTAAACCTATTTCAGTGACTTAAGGTTGTTTGTTTGTGTGTTTGCTTGTTTTCTGAAAATGGGATCATTTCTAATATCCAAAATGGAGAAAGCTGCATTCAGCTAACACTTGCAAGCATAACAATAAACAATCACAAAGCCGCCAACACCCCCCTCCCTCCTCCCCAATCTATTTATACATCAACACCTTCAAGTAAAAAGGGGGCTGGGGGCTGGGAGTAGAACTTGGTTTATTCTTTAAAAGTGTCCTATTACTCCAAGAAACTTATTTTAGGGAGTCTTTTTTATTCACCAGGTCCTCAGACCTCCCTCAGGTACAAATAGGTACTAACTCCTTGCGAAAGAAATCTGGAGAATGATTTGAGGTGGTACTGTGAAACACTATAGTGTCTCAAACTGATTATCAGAATTACACTGGCTGTGAGGATAAAGCCTCTTACAGAAATATGGTCATACTTACCTGTGGTCCATCCTGCATGTGCTTTAATGAGAAAATCAGTTTCTTAGAGGTGCTGACCTTTTATACCACTGTAATTTTCAATTTAGATATCATGATAGAACTTTTCAATTCTCCCGAAGATGAGATGGATAGGCCTTTTTATCTGACTGAGTTGGAGTTTCTTCTTTCTACTTTTTCCATGACATTTTGAATGTGTTTCCATAGGGACGAGGGGAAATGCGTAGAGGGAATTTTGGAGATCTTTGATATGCTTCTGGCCATGACCTCAAGGTTACGAGAGCTGAAACTGCAGCACAAGGAGTATCTGTGTGTCAAGGCAATGATCCTCCTCAATTCCAGTAAGTATGTGACTGGCTCTGACACTCACTAAACTGTACTTTCTATATCGAATGTGGCTGTGAAATCAGCCTCTAAAAATGGCGGAATTATCAAATGAGATAAAGCTGTTGAAAGAGAACAATAGGAAAGGACTAACTGCCAGATTGGTAAGGATGTTTGCTCAGGAAAATGCTAAACTGTATCATTTGCTGGATTTATGGTCTATATCCTGTTGTAAGAACTGCATGAAAGACCCAAAGTCTGAAAGCTTCTTACAAGGTGGGGCTTGGGACCCAGGATGTGAGTATGTCCTTTTCAGCAAGAACTTTTACTTGTGTCTCTGTGGATCCTGGGGATGCGTAAAGTTGTTGTGCAGCTCTACAAACCTGTCTTTAATTCTTAATTGTAGTAAAACTAGTTACTCAATTGAGTGATGATTAATTAATAATATATAATTAATAATTAATAGTGTTCCTATTTAAAGGTAATTAACTGGTATAAATGATTGCAAGTACTCAACTGCGAGTTTAGTTTCAGGATACGAGCTTTGCTTTGCGAAAGGCTTGCTTTGCAGTGTTTCACCCAAGGCAAACAGGAGCGTGTTTGCCAGTTTAAGGTTGTCTGCAGTGAAATAATTTTATTCCCCTGAACATTTTGTGAGTAGTGTTGTCCAAAGAATCCAACAATAAAATAACAACAGCTGTTGCATGGACTGTTTTCAGCAAGGAGCTGCTGTGTAATTCTCAGCCCAGTTCTGAAGGGGAATGGTCCAGCAGTGATCCCACTTGTTTAGAGATGGATCCCATTATTTCAACAGACAACAAAAGCTGGTCTTTTTTTTACTTAAAAAAAAACCTCACACCAACCAAGCAGACAAAACTATGTTTGTCGGCTGTTATTTCCTTCAAACCCTCACCTCCCAGAAAAAAATCACTCCTTTCACCTCTCCCTGCTCATCTTTCTTGTCAAGGTTCATCTTTTAATCCTAATTTCCAAGGTGTTCTGGAGCTCTGTCCTTCCATAAGTATCTTTGAGAGGATTGCTGCCCTCTCCCCCCCCCCCGCCCCGATCACTTCTGCTCCATCAATGATGTTACTGTGTGTTTTCAGACCTCCTTAGTGGTGATTTCTTCTCTTCTCTCTACCCCCAATTCCCTGCTTTTTGCTGACTTTTAAGGTTTCCCACTGTAGGTAAATGCTGTGTTATGGCTCCTGCAGTGAGTGGTAGGGAGACCATGCAGGCTGGGTCTGTGAGCAGTGTCTCTCAACATGTTCTCCTCCCTCCTTAGGATATACTCACACAAAAGAGGTTTTTTTCAGCAAGAAGAGATTAGAGCAAGCATAATGCTTTAATTCATAATAGGTACTAAAATACAAGGTACAGAGTGATTCAAAGGGAAAAAAACCCTGGAGAACAGAGGGCACATCTATGTTCAACATGTTGTCATGGGAGGACTTGGGAGAATTGCTCAGTTTCCAAAGGATGTGGCCGTCAAATTTTGGCAAAGGAATGTAAGCTGAAGCTTGGTGTGGCACATGGAACATCATTTGTACAGTCTTGAGGGGCAGATGTCAGGAAATGTATCTTCTCTAATCCTGTTGAAATATGATATCAGAAAAAAAGTCCACGGTCGTAGCTTCTTTTTCTTCCTCAAGTCTGTATTTGTCTCTCTGTTTAGGCATGTTTCCCTTGTCAGGAGAAGAACCAGAAAGCAACAGGAAACTGCATCATCTGCTTAATGTGGTCACAGATGCTTTGATGTGGGTTATCGCAAAGAGCGGAGTCCCCTCGCAGCAGCAGACCACTCGCCTGGCCAACCTGCTGATGCTCCTCTCTCATGTCAGACACGCAAGGTACCCTTTACAGAACATGTGTAACATACGGTGTTGGTGCTTGTTTATTACAGCCACAAAGTGAGGCTTGAGCTCCAGAGCACTCCTGAGGGAATCCTGCTACTGCTCTTCATCCCTGTCCATTGTAAGGCTTTCCTTCCTAGCACAGCTAAACAGCCTCTGTACTCAAGTGCTTGCTGGCACTCAGAAATATTGTGTTGATATTAAAATGCCACTTTAACTGTATTACATTAAATTATTCATTATGGATCTGCCTGAAATGCTTAACACTGATTACACAAATTCAGCTTTTCAAGAAGACCCACCCAGCCATCAGAACTCTTCTGTCCAAAATGAAAGTCTTTTTCCAAACTCAGCTGCAGTGTGGGCTTAGGTGGAGCAAAGTGTACTGTGGGTGCCATGTTTGTCCCAGGCCAAAGTTGGTGTCTTTTACTCAGAACCACAGCATTTCTGCCAAGGGGCTTGTGCTGCACCGATGCCACACTCCTGCCTTCCCGATTGCATTGGAAGCAGTTCCTCTGCTCCCTGCCAGTCCCTAGACCTTGAGCTGCTCATCTTTGCTTGCAGTACAGCAGACTCAATCACATGGTCCTACAAACAGATGCTTTAATTTTCAGGCTGTTTGTAATTCTAAATTGTCACCCAAAGCCCAGCTATTCACAAAGCTGTCTTATGTCTGCACTTCGGACTGTGTGTCCAGGGCAGGCGGTCCTGGGACCAGACTGGACTATGTAGGGGAGAGACGGGTGTATCTGACTGTGTAGGTACGCTGAAGAGGGACAGCCATCTTTGCAACAGGCTTCCTGGGAGAGTGGGTGACAGCAGCGAGCACCTGACTGCGCAAAAGGCCAGTTTGTGGACTGGGGGTGAGGTTGAGAGCTGGCCCTACAAGAGGTACAGCACCAGCAAGAGCCAAAACAGACTCAGGGCTCCAGTGCACTGCTGTCACCTGGGTTGCCCGCTGTGATGTGACACCACATCACAGCATCGCAGGAGCTCTTGTGGTGACATAATGTGAATAAATATTGGGAATTTTTTTCAGAGTTTTTCTGCTGTGCCTGCCTCAGCCAAAGTCTGGAGGCTACATGTGACCTGTCTCCTTCTTGCTTAGCAATGGTCAGTCAGTTATGCTTTGTTCTGGAAATACTTGCTGCTCTCAGCCTTGATTACCAAATGATGCAGGACTCTCAAGATCAGGGTGTAGGAAGGGGGCTGCAATTTCTTCTTTGCCATTAAGGTATTTATAACTCTTGAATTGTAGCAGAACCTCATTTTTCTGGAAGCATTGCCCCCCTCCCAATCCAATTTCCTAGGTCATCTGTGTGCTGACTGCCTGCTACTATTTCCACTGTGATAAAGTTATGTTGAGCAAGCTCAGTTAGATTTCAACCCCAAAATCTTGAGTACATCTGAAGTATATCCATGTGCAACCGCAACAGCAATAACCATCTCCTCTTAGTCCAAATCATGATATAGCCACAGAGCATTCAGGCTAATCAGGTGTTGCTGTATCTTAGTGCGTAACAAAAAAAGAGATTGCTTTAAAGGCCTGTAGCCATCTGCAAGATCTGACACCGGACATGCAGAGAGGAAACAAACCACTTGAAGTTAGACAGGGTAATTTGGTCTTCCTACTCAGTCAGGCAGGAGCCAGGTAGGTATTAGAGCTGCACATTGTAAATTCTCCCTTTGTATAAAGCTGCAGCATGTGAACCTCCCACGTTTACAGCATCGAAGAGGTTTTCTGTTTGATTTTAACAGGGTCCGTACATCCAATTCTTCTCTGAAGTCAGTTTGTGTGGTGTAAAACAAATCTTGGTTCTCTAAATAGTAAACCACTCAGCCTTAAAGTACTGGGATGCTGTTACTATTGATAGTGGTAAGTGATCTCAGGGACTACAGCAGCAAAACTTCTTAACCCCTAATTAAAAAAGGTCTCTCTTGAAGCCACAGGCGTGTTTCCTTCTCTACACTGCTGGACCCAGATCACTGACTTATTTTCTGTTCTCCTGCACAGTAACAAGGGAATGGAGCATCTCCTGAGCATGAAGTGTAAAAATGTGGTCCCAGTGTATGACTTGCTGCTGGAGATGTTGAATGCACACACTCTCCGAGGGCAAAGGAAGTCCCCAGCCACGCATCCTGAATTTGGCCCGTTAGAACAAATGGAGACTGGAGACAGTCTGCGGAATGCGGCAGCCCAGTAATTCTGCTGAGACCTGGAGATGTGATGCTTGTTCAAAGCTATGTGAGAAAACAAAACTGCTGTGTTGGGACTACTGAAGTGTGACCTAGTGCGAGTCCTCATCTCTTCTAGATTTGCACATCGGTATCTTGGGAAAAGCTTGTGGGATGCATGCTTCTGTCCATATTTCCGACATTTTAATAGCTGCACTTTAACAGTGCCTTTTTGGAGACTCTTCAAAGCACCTTATGAAATTAAGCCTCAGAACAGTGCTGCGAGACACGGAATTACTGCCTCTCCTTTTCAGAGCCAGGCAAACTGTGACAGAGAGCTAAAGGGACTGGTTTAAGATGACAGAAGTCATCTGTGTCAGGACTAGGAGTGAGCACCTAGGTTTCTGTCTCCCAGACCAAGGTTTTTATGTGATGACTAGTCAATTTCCTCTTTCATAGAATCATAATCATAGAATATCTCAAGTTGGAAGGGACCCATTAGGACCACTGAATCCAGCTTCCTGCTCCTTGCAGGACTACCTAAAACAGCATGAGGCTGTATAAAATGTAGAGCAGCATTTTGGGATAGATCCGCTTACCTCTGTGTGCTGGTCCCTGGGTAATCCTGCTTTGCTGCTGATATAGATAAAGTGCTGAGATATGTACAATGTAAAGGAGTTTCTTCTATTCTTAAATATGCAATGGCTGCAAGGGCCTTCATTTGAAGGCCATTCAGAATAGCTTCTAAGACCAGATCAGAGCCTTTTCAGAATTGTTAAACCAAGCTTAAGTTTGTATTTTGTGAGCCTGTTCTGAACACTCACATTGTTATCTGTGTATAATTCTTCAGTGCTTTAAAGAAGACCAAACTGCCTGGATATTTCAGTCAATGCTGACCTTTGAAATGTGTTTTGTCTGTGAGATTAACATGTTGTTTTACATATTTATTAATGATGTTATATCTATTATAATAATTAGGTACGAGAGGTTGCTTTGTGAATATTAACTGTTTGCATTTGTATATGATCTGCTGATCTGGGCTTGTGAAATCAGCTATAAACAAACCATCTTCCTTCCCCTTTGGACTTGCTTGTGGAATTATGTCCTGCCCACCCGAAACCTCTTCCAGCCATCTTGCAGGGGGGAGGCAGTGGACTGGAGCATGAGCTGGGACTTGGTTTTGCCTGCTGCCCTCAGGTTTGCTGCTTGCTTGTTTAGAAAGCGCCTTCTCATATCTTGTATTGGATGCTTCAAAGAGCAGGGACGGGACAGTCCTGGCACTTCCTTCACTGTGCAAGTGTGAGGCCTTGTTTGAGTTTCACTGAAGATGTGGGTTTACACCCCCCCCCCCACTGATTTCTGCATGTGTTTAAGCTGCACTAAGGAAAATAAAACAACATAGGCCTCAGTGTAGAGCAGAATGGCATCATTCAGTCTGGCAACTGCCAACATTGCATTTTGATGTGAGCTAGAATCACGCTAAGTGGATACGTTCAAATGTAATGCATGCATTCTCTGGGCATTTCAGGTATGGAGAAAATAAACTGGGATCAGAGCAAACGTCTGCTTTGAGCCAATAAGTCTTTTGGTTAGGGACTTTTTTCCAGTTGCCTCCTTGGAATATTAATGAAACTTTTGATCTTGGTGTTTTTTTAAAGCCAAGGAGAGTATTTTTTTATGGGAGGTGCATAAAGTTTTCAGTAAGTTGCACAAATCTGTTGTCTTGTTTTGATCTTGTACTATACCAGATGCTGCAGGTGGTCTACATTTTTACTGGTTACCTTTTTAGTGTTTTTAAGAAACTGTAATATAGCAGTGCCCTTTGAAATCAGTGTCATATTTACTACAGAGAAGGGAAAAAATGAGAGTTCAGTCTGGAATTTAGTGGTACTTTCATTCTGAGGGAGGTTTTCCTGTGAGACAAAAGTGCTTTGGTGTATCTTGGGCTTGATCATGTTCTGGCCTCTGTGCCTGTTGTTTTTTTCTCTCTGATTTTCCTATCCTGTGCAATCTTTCTGTTTAATACAGTTTTTCAAAGAAAGGTTGAAGTGATCATTTTGGTTTTGTTTTGCATTAGAAGTGCTGAACCTATGTACAATCCTGAAACAAACATCTTCTTAAAAGGAAAATGGGAAGGAGTGTGTATAAATTGTAAAAATTAGCTTCTAAATGGAAATTTTCTCTGGATTGACTGTGAAAGGACGATGCTGCAGATTTGCGCCACGTGTTGTGATTAATATGTGCCGTTACTAGCAGAGTGCAAATAGGAAAATGTTATTTTAACACATACTTTTTGTCTCAGTTAGTATACTTTTATTAAAAGTTACTACTAGTGTTTGTTTTAAAATGGGCAAAAGCCAGTCGCTGTTGACTCTGGATTAAAGTAGCTGTGGTTGTATTTGGACAAAGAGGAGGTGCACATCTCTAAAACAGCACGGTTTATAAATAGGGTGCTGTGTGACAAGGACTGAACAAGGGTGCCTTTGGCTCCTGAGATGTTGGGTTGCTCATGGGTCTGTATCCTACAGGCCCTCTCACATGCTGTGTTCCTGCTGTGGAGCACATCCATGTCCCTGCCAAGCCTGAGCAGAGCTGCCACAGTGCTTTTCAATTCTGATTCTGGGGAGGCTTTTCCAGTTTCAGCATGAATTAACTGAGGGCTGTGAGGAGGGCAGGGCTGGTTTATTGCTTTCCTTCACTGTGCTGCTGTATACCACCTTCTGCTGGGACCTGGCTGGAGGTGGCTGTTTCTACTTGAAGAAATGATGCTGCAGTTCTGGGATGTTTGTGAGTGAATGTGGTTCATGCAGGAGTGCTGACTGCCATGGGTTTAAAGAAGAAAATTAAAATAGGGAAATAAAAAGGCCCCAACTTTTCCTCATGCTGTTAAAATCGTGCTCAAGTTCTGCTCGAGACTGGAGCTAGAGCTAAAGAGTAAAACAAACCTGAATTTTTTTAAGAACTGTGGCAAGTCTCACAGCATTTCAGGCAGGTGAAGTGCTTTGTCTCCAGGAATGGGTGACCTTTCCCACAGCTCTGCCTTCTTGCAAATAACTCAGTTTTAGTACGGTCATGTTGCCAGTCAGAGAGGAGAACATGGGGAAAAGATGTGTTGGAACCTTCTCCTGTGAGATAGTGACTGACAGGATGAGTCCTCCTATAAAATGTGTAGCAAACTAAGAAAGGTAGCACTTAAAGCTTTCTTTTCCAATAAATATGCGTATTTCCACAACAGTAATATATTAATTCTTTACTGACTGAATGATAGATCTATACAAGGGTCACTGTGATGAAAGGAGAGCATCCTTTCAAGTGCTGGAACTTTTTCTTTTCCTCCCGATGGCATGTGAAGTATGGAAGACATTTTCTGTATTTGCATTATTAGAGTGGTTTAACAGAGCCTAAAAATGCAGTGAGGCCCCAGAAAGTTGCCTCTTGGTCCTATTCAAGCTGTCACCAGTGACCGGCCTCTTCTGAGGTAAGAATTTTTGTCTTGTCTGGACTTTATAATAAAATCAGAGAATCTTAGAATGGTTGGGATGGGGCATCCACAACTGCTGGGCATCCTGTTCCTATGTCTGACCACCCTCACAGTAAAGAACTTCTTCCTAATCTCTCTCCTTTCCCTGCCCTTCCCCATTAAGGGAAGTGCCCCTGGGAGACAAGTTGCTCTTACCTGGAGAGCTAAAGTTAAACACAAAGTGTGGATTCACATGACTTTGTTTGAGGGGCCTTAAAGTGAGCACAGCCTAACCCTGTCACAAGGTTACTGCTTTATAGGGATAAAGAGTGAATGTACATAATATTCAAAAGATCTATCCTGCTCAGTTCTTTAGATGGCAGAGAAGGTTATAAACCCCCTTCCTGGCTACTGCAAGTGAGCACAGCCAAGGAGAGTCACCAGCAGCTACTTTTATTAGCTCAGCTATAGGCTGCACCACTTCTTTCCATGGTGCATGGTCCCGTGATCCTTCCACACAGAGTTGGAAGTCACGGGAGCACCTTGCTATCACCACCGTTTGTCTTGGAAGAAAGCATTTAACATTATTTATGTCCTGCAAAATAATTGTTCAGCAAAGCAGTTAAGGACATGGTCATCTGTTGTGCTGAGCCAGTGCCTAAACCAGCACTAGAGCATTGTAAATGGGGAAATGAAGAGCAAGCAAACTGCTAAAATCTGGAAAATAAGTATTATTAATTTTTCACTGTGTTTTACTACTGAACTGTGGTAAATTACATGGCACACTGTTTCCTAGTGAAGGCTTCATTTTACTTATGATCTCTTTCCATCTTTATACATAAGAGTCACCTCCACTCATGCATTATTGAGTGTCAGTGATTTCAATTTATCTCCGTAAGGAAAACAAGACTGCTTTGCTATAAAAACGCCAACTTCTGCTGCCACTGCCTCAACTGACAAAACGTTAGGTCATCAATAATCCTGTACTAAGGAGCCAGCATGGCCATTAACAGTGATATTGCATGTTTCCTGTATCCGTTCTCCCCAGAATTTTCTGTTCTGAGTGCCATTTTGTATGTAATTTTAGTTTAAATGTTCCACCTTCACTGCATATTTGTAATGGAAACAGGTTTATGACTGAAGCTGGTGCCTTTTCAAGTATTTTATGTATGTAATACTAATGTGAAAAAAAAACATGATTCCATCCTTTCAGCTGCTCTTCAGTTCTGTGAATTTACTTGTAGTATTTGTCTAGTGATGTGTGTTTCATTCAGTTGTAGACTGTTGTGGCTGAATAAACAGGTATCATGAAACCTAAGTAATACATGGCTTTTTATTCACTTATTTCCTGTAGCTGAGCTCAGCCTGGTTCCATGGGTGGAGGGGGAATAGGGAGTAGGTATAGCTGACAGCAGATTGAGGTCTCATCTCCCTGACAAAGAAAGAAGACTTAACTCAAAATTAGTTTTGGCCTGGTTCCACTCCTTCATAAAATGCATGTGCAAAAGCATGGACATGCATGCTTGCTCTCACTATTGTTCTTGCACTCTATTAATTTTTCCCTTCCCTTCACTGAACACTAATGACCCAGTCCTGAATGAGAGGCTGCCACTAAGAAACTGGTGGGTATATATGATGACTTGTTTGAAGCAGACTCAGTGTCAGCCTACAGTGCCGTGGTTATTATCAACTAGAAGAAAAACGATTTAAAATAGGTTTTTAGGGAAAAAAAAAAAGTTACTTTCCTAGAATTATTTTTTTTTGGTGACATTTTGAGACAATCTCATGAAATCTCTTCCTTTTATTTATTACATCAACTGAACTATTTGCTGTAACTGTACATAATGAAATGAAATTGCTGGCTATGGAATTTTCTTTAGACCTTTTAACATGCTTCAGTTTTTTTTTCCCCTGCATAGGTTCCTTAATGGCAGAAGAACTGAATATCATGTCAGCAACTGACTATTACTTCTTGGTGGAAAGGTTTGCATGGGCATTTTGTGACAACCTGGCAATGAAATAATGGTTAGAGTTGGCTGACTTCTACAGAGGCAGAAACTTAAATGAGCTTAAATGTCTCTGTGTGGCAAGGGGTGGAGAGGATCCGTCATTTATCTATGGATACAGCACTTCTGTGAGCTGTAGCTGTGAAAGTCATAGCTGGAGCACAAGCCTGGCTCCACAGACACAGCTACATGGAGCAGTGTGCTAGCTTACAGGCTGTGAACACTGCAAGCTCTGGAAGCGCTGCTGATCCATGTGTCTTTAGCAAGCTGGAGCCCGGGCACTGCTACTTGGAATCATAGGATGGTTTGGGTTGGAAAGGAACTTAAAAGATCCATCTAGTTCCAACCTCCCTGCCATGGGCAGGGACACCTTCCACTGCACCAGACTGCTCAAAGCCCCATCCAACCTGGCCTTGAAAACTGCCAGGGATGGGGCAGCCACAGCTTCCCTGGGCAGCCTGTGTCAGTGCCTCAGCACCCTCATAAATGAAGAACTTCTTCCTAGTATGTAATCTAAATCTCCCCTCCATCAGTTTAAAGCCATTCCTCTTGTCTTATCATTACATGCCCTTGTAAAATGTCCCTCTACAACTTTCTTGTTGGCACATTTAGGTCTCCCTGGAGCCTCCTCTTCTCCAGGCTGAACAAACCCAGTGCTCTCAGCCTGTCTTCACAGGAGAGGTGCTTCAGCCCTGTGCTTGGGATTGAGGTTGAGACATACCAGTATGGAGCTGGCATGCCTTGACCCATACTTGAGCACAGAGGGTTGATGTAAACTACTGTATGGTACTACTATAAGATGTGTCAAATTGCAGGCTTTGACTTTCCATGTTGCTAATTTTGCAAGCTTAACCATATCAGTTAAAACATTAGTACAGTATCCTGGAAATAAGCCATGCTTTTTTGCAACCATAGGTGGGGAAGAAGCTGT